GTAGCTTCGTCGTCGCTCAAACCTACGGAATGAACTGGATATTGACGTTCTATCCATGAAATCGACAGGAATCAGCAGTTCGCTCGCTTCTCGCGTTCCCAGCCAGCCAAACACGTACCACCGGAAATGACGATCCTCTGCGTGAGACAATTCTTCTGTCTTCGTTTTTCCCTTTATCGTCTGTTACCAGATAGACACACACACCGGTGTTGATTTTTCGTATCGAATGAGGATTGGAATATGTACGACCAAGGAGACAGGTTTTCACTTAGAGGTTATGACGATTCGAGCAAAGCTTCGACATATATACGGTGTCTTATCTTGAATCAATTTTCGTGAATATATTTTTTCGAAAATTCTTGTTTTAATGATCATTATTTAAATAATAATTATCTAATTATTAGAAATGCGAAAAATTATTCATATGACAAATTTCTGACGTTTTTCGATAGAAACTGAACAGGATCTGTTCGATTTGAAACTTGGTAGAAATTCAAGGAATTATTTGTGTTTTTAATTATTTATAGATAGTATAAAATGTAATTATTTAAACGCGTATTTCTTGGTCTTTTACAATATTTTTCGATGCTTTTTAAGAATTTAATAGAGCATCAGTATTTTTATTTTAGTTTCGTTAGACGATCCGTCTTCTCTTTCGTGCAGTTTCTTTTTACAATTTTTTAATTCTAGCCACGAGTTACACCCGCACTCAAAAGTTACGCAACGCTTATTATATTCGCGCGAAAAGTGGGAAAAGTTACGAATGATCGATAGCGGTATTTAATGTCACCACTATTAAGAAATATTTTTGCAGATCTTCGTACATTTCTCAGCAGATTTATTTCTATATTATTTATGTTATTTTGAGAAGTTTCAGGAGTTTCAACAATTTTTAAAATAGCATACGAAAATATAGAAGACCTCGCAAGTGGAACATTTATTTGGACTGTGGATTTTTATACATTTTAAGGAAATTTAAAATTGCAAAAATCTATAAAATATTCCAAGTATGGTAAACAATTTCTGCGTCGGTTTCGTTTCTTCCATTGCATTCAGTGAATTATGAATTTGTACAAATATTTGTGCTCTAACAACGATACTTAATACAATTTGAAACTATGGAGGAAAATTGATGGACTTCAAAAGGAATTTGGCCGGTTATTTCCTTAAGATTTTCCGGGATGAATGTGATTAGCTTTCTCGAAAGCACGTTCAATTATGCGATATCTGGGAAACTTTGAATGTTTAATAGCGATGTTTAATGTCAGTGGAAACTTTTAATACCGGTTTTACTTGAAACGAAAGTTTCAAAACGAAAACCAACTGATTCATTTTTCTTCTTCTTTTTTTTTTCTAAGTTTCTCTTTGGTTCAGGCACGTAATATAGATTATGGGATATCTTCGAAACTTTTAACGATCTAATAACGACGTCCAATAACGACGAAAACTTTAAATGCTTGATACCGATTTTACTTGATAATCGAAGTTTTAAAAGCGAAAGTGATTCCTCTTCTTCCTTCTGCTCCAGTTTTTTTAGATTTTAAAAATGTTATTTCGCATAATAGTTCAGCTCATAAGCTACAAGGCCTATATAATAACAAGATGTAATAATAATAATTAATAATAAGATATAAGGCCTATAGTAAAGCAATTAGAAAGTAAGTGTAGTTTCGGCGAGACGCAATCGCGAGGAGAGACGTTAACGGGAGTCGTAAATTCCCGTTACGATTATAGCAATCGACACCACGAATTGATCGATCCCCTGATTTCCGTTGAGATAATAGGGCTGATTCAGTTAGTATAACACTGTGATTCACAGAATTATAAGTTATATATTTCCAACACTTAGATTACACTGTTGAGTAGATATAAATAGATAACAACTTATCGCACGAAGATAAGATAGATATAGGCTTCGTTGTTAATCGGTTAAACGAAGGTTGGTGGACTAGGAAGGGTCTTAGCTGCCTTCGATAGAAAGTTGTTAATTAGGAAGAATCGTACGCGAGAAAACCCAACTTTCCCTTGTCAAGCCGTAGTAAACAATCGTCTTTAGAAAGTGATTTAGAAAAAGACATTTGTTGGATTTGAAGGACCTTAGCTAGCGAATTACTCGGATTTATGACGGGTCCTTAAAGCTATTGAGGGTACGCCGTAAGGATGAGCGGGCATCTGGTGTCCGTCTGGCCCGCGGTGTATGACCTGGTCCAGGTAGAGAGTCGCCCGACGTAACACACAGAATAGTAACAGTAAGAATAATGAAAAATATTTCATTGCTACTACAAAGCTGTCCCGATAATTATGGTCGCCGGTGTACATAGAACGTATATTTTATTTTCGTTCAATATCGTACGCTTTACACGACAAAGATCGAATTGCCGTTTCGTCAAATATAAAACATTGAATAAGATAAAAGGGATACTCTAATGCAACAATAGCAACTAACGATTAATATCGGTTTACTGTCTTCTTGGTCATTAATTTCAATTTTGTTAGTAGCAAAAAAAAAAAAAAAAAGAATGATGCTGGAAACGTCAAACGTTAACTCGAAAGACCCAGCGTTTCCTGTTTCTCTGGAAGATTTTTCGCCGTCATTGCCTCTGCTAAATGGTGTCCGATATTTCAGGCGGTAACGTGTCTGCTCCAGTTCGTGGGGCTAGTGGCATTAACCGGCGTTCTAGTCTGCCTCGTTGCCGTGTTGCGATTGGTGGAACTGGCCATCACCCTGATCAATCCTTTCACCGTTTTTATGCTTCACCAATCGGGCAAGATAATCATTGTGAGTATGAAAACGAGGTAATAGAATTCTTTTAGACACCCGTTTTATCAATGACTGATATTATTGGACCATTAGGAACTGTAACAACGTTGGATGAACCTGCCGTATACAGCTAACTCTTCGTTGATTTCGGTGTCCTTGAAATATGTGCTCAAGGTCATAATTTTGAACAGCTCTTTCCTATACATGTATAAGGTGTTTATATAGCTATCGAGTTATACACGAAAGAATTACATTTTTTTAGCAGGTCGCCGAAGCCGGAAATGTGACACGTTTTTCAGGAAAACAACAAATTTTTGTTTACCTGTTGATGCGCGACCTCCTCGATTTGGTACTCTTAAACATATCGTATGGTTTACGCTGTGTGCATTTGAATCGCGAGTATTCATTTTGATTTGGGGTTTTCTTTCTTATTTCCCGGCTATGATCGCATATGACAGAAAATGGTAAACGAGAAAATTGGCATTTCGAGCATTGGCATTGTTGTACCAAACGTTTTCCTGAAAAACGAGTCGCCTAAAATATCCACGAAAAGACACATTCGTATTATTTCTGTATTTTATACTAATATTGTTTTTGTTACTTTTTACACGATTTTGTACATTAGATGTTAGAACTATTGCGCGCGCGTGTGTGTGTCAGTATTTTCCCCTATTTTTTAACATCACTGGATTTAAATCGCACATTAATTCCGCCCCCATGCGACTGTTCCCGTTCACGAGGACTGCAATCACTTAAATAACCTAACCTCACCTACTACTTTACATTTGTAATTCAATTTTTATTATTTTTCCTTCAATACCTCACCACAGAGGTATTAGAAAGAGTGCTGTTAAAATTCATGCGAAGGTAACGAACATACTTGTAACTTGGAAAACCGAACACCCGATATATGTGTAGGAAAAGATTGTTCAGAATGACGACCTTGACAACATATTTCAAGAGCATCGAAATGTGTGAGGAGGTAGCTATTCTACAGGTCGACCCAATTTTGCATTCAATTTCACTAGACTATAATCCAGAGACCGAAATGACAATTATTTTAAATACTTAAAAAGAGAAAATTATCGGGAAAAAGATTTTTGATTTGAAATAAATTTTTTAGAGCAAAGTAAATTTGTATTTAGATGGAAGTTAGGATAGTGACTTTTTTGTTTCCAATGTACACGGGAATTTTGTATTTTAATTTAACGAAAGGAACTTTATTAAAATTTGTTAGCTCACGTTTCTATGCGCAGATCTATCTATCTGCCTGGATAAAGGAAGCGAGGGACACGATTGTTTGTGAAGTATATTATCAAACTTTAGAAGTAAGCAGCACATAAAACTGAAGAGAAATTCGTTTCTATTTTACTAATCCTGTGTTTCAATATTTGGAGAACTTGTTGGGAAACTTGTTAGGAAGCTTGTTAGGATTTAGTCCATCTATAATAGAATTAGTGGAATGATCTAGGGAATTATGTTGTGATATTCTAGTGAATTTAACGCCAGTGGTCTTGATCGTTTTTCAAGATACGTACTAGATTTCTAACTAAATTAATTAATTTAATTTTTTACAAGATTTATAGAAACTCTCAATTTAGTATTGCCACAGAGAAAAGGTTCTTAAAAGATTTAGTCTCATTGGACTGGATTTAAAGATTTCCTTTTTAATCTGATTTGATGTATAAAAAAATCCCTAGACTAAAGTATAGTAATAATTCCTAGATTTCATAGACATAACACTTAAGTCTATCGTTAATTACATTGAACAGATTTCAGATGATTTTAAACTTGGAATGTGATGGTCGAATGTGGTGGAAAACAGAAGAGAATCACGTTAAAGTAAGATAAGAGGATCGTTGATGTCGTTCGGATTAATTAGTTTGTCGCGTTGAATATTCGTCGACGAGGGTTTGTCGTGTGCAGTTTGCCAACGTTAGAGAAAATGGAAAACTGTCTGCAGGACTGTGTGAAACCAGCTAAAATATTAGGTTATTACACGATTTCGTAATACCACCGTCGTCGTAGGACCTCGTCGTGCGGATTATTCGCGGAAATTAGATCATCCATTTCATGCTCTCCTCCCGGAATTTTCAGCCGTTAATAATTTCTTATACCGACGAATCATCATATATTTTTTTGCCAGATTCAACTAGGTACATACAGATTTTCTACATTGTCACCAAACTGACAAATCATGATCAAACGAATCGTAAGAAACAAACTCGTGCATTGTTCTATTTCTTGCCCTCTTTTTTTTCCTTGTTTCGATTAGTTCTTTTATAAAAGTTGGAAATATTCTTGCACAAGTTTATAAATTCTTTTATTTCTTATCTCTCGTTCTTCGTCTATTTTCATTGCTTTCTAAGAGATGAAAATATTGCTTTTTAGATTTATAGACTCTTTTATCGCTTTTCCTTTTGTTTCGATGCGTGCAATGAAATATTCTGTTCTTGAAATATTCAGATCCTCTCATCTGTTTCTCTTTTTATTTTGTTACACAAGGTGCAAATATTGGTTGGTAAACTTGTAAATTCTCTTACTTCTTTTCCATTGTTTCTCCTGTTTCAATTCGTTTTATCGTGTAGAATGAAAATATCTGGTGAATTTGTAGGTTTCTAGGTTATATTACTTTTGCAAATTCCCTAGTCTTTAGTGCCTTTTGTCATTATCTTGCAAAGAACGAAAGAAACCTTCCTACTGTGGATCCTCATATTCTCTTTATTCTGTGACAGAATAACCAAATATTTTCGAAATTAACAATAATTAGTAATAATCAATTCGAAATCAAGAATCATTTATGTATTTGGTTATAGTGTTAACGAAATTCCAAAATGTTTTACACAACACGTATATTGGGTTAGTTGCCAACCCAATAATATACAGTGGCGAACAAAAAGAATTTTGTAGAATAGAATAAGAAATATAAAACGACATTATAATTTTACACAACTCGTGTACAACACGGAATAGATGACCAAACAACTGTAAACAATATTTGATACAAAAGTTACTAAAATTCATAGTTACCAATTTTAAACTTTCTCTTGTTCCCCACTGTATACTTAAAAGTTCCCTATAGTAAGTGCTGAAATACTTTCGTAAGTCATTATACAGGGTAGTTCAAAATTCAGTTCCTACGATTTTTCAGGCATTTCCGATAGTCGGATAGAAAGATATCTCGAGCAAAAGTTAATCAGTTTCCGATCGACTACAACGTTAAGAAATTCAAAGAAGGTTTCACTTGCACGAAAAGTCAAGGTCATACGTATTTTTCTAAACAGAACACTACATCTTTTAACACACCATCCGATGCATTTCTTAATCCTCTAGGAAAAAAGTATGAAAATACTCGAGTCGAAGAATGATTAATTTAAACGATATTTGAACTTTAATGTCGTGAAACCTATCGCTTGAAGGAGGGGGAAAACGTTAAACCGAAACAGCACCGCACTATCTTCTCTTATTTTTTATGCGATAAGTTTCGCGATATTCAAGTTCAAATATCTTTCAAACTAATCATACTTCGATCCAAGTACCTTAACACTTTTTTTTTTTATGAAGAATTGAAAAACATAACCTATCTGGCATATAAAAAATGTCGTATCGTATAATTGAAAAAAAATACAGTGACTTTAATTTTTCCATCGAAATAAAAGTTTCTTTGATATTCATAATGTTTCAATTCGTAGTCGTTCGACAGCTGAAAACCTTTGTTCGAAACATCCTTTTGTCCGACTATCGGACAAAGGCTCGTGGTTACTGTACCGCTCTGTGGATCAAACGAAATATTTAAAATACGTCGATAAATGGAAAATAAGTGGCAGGGCCGGAGAGCTCGTGGCCAGTTAATGTTAAATGCCTGGCTGTCCGCAGTTTGGGCTGAGGAAGAGTAAAAAGCTGACATCCAACGCTTACCATAAGATGCGCATGGATCGTGGACGTGCACCTGTCTTAGAATTAGAGATAGGTATACGTCAACCGGAAGTGTTTTACAACAGAAACGTGATGTCAGGCTTGATGGAAGAAACGTTCCCTCGCGAGGGTGATAATTACAAGGCCGTACAAATGTCAGAAGTGGCTAGCGTCGATCAGGATGACGAGGAGCAGGACGAGCAAGAGATAGAAGTTCACAGTCCCTACGAGATGGAAGTCGAGAAGGTTGACGAGGACCGAGAAATCGAAGAGGCTGATGATGATCGTGAAACTGGAAAATCTGCTTCCGAAGAAATTGGATAGACCAGCGACAAGGAAGCAAACGAAACGCTTGAAGAGTCCATGGGAGAATAAATCGCTGAAGTGAATAACGACCATGGTGTTTAATGAAAATCGTCTGTTTTGAAATATATACATGTCTTTTCGACGAATTAAAAGAATTGTGTTGTTATTGAGTTTGCAAGTGAATTTGGTTTTTACCTTTTTGTAAGAAATTTTTATCAATATCAAATAGAACATAGTTTTATTTATATTTCTCATAGAACTTGATCTCTTATCTTCTTCAAAAGAAATTTTTTTATTAATGTTTTAATAAAATTCCACCGATATTCTAACAAACTTCGATCTTTCACTGTTGGAAAACATTTCGTTTTCAGGTTATAGCAGTGTTTTTTAGGTTAAGTTAGAATTTTAGGTTAGGTTAGGGTATTAATCGCAAATTATAAGACTAGATACTGATCTGACAGCAGATCAATTTTCGTATCGATAACGTTTTATAAGATTTTATTCATAAGACTGAATTCTGGGAAAATCCAAATTCCCAACATTTTTCTTGCCACCGATAAACTTGTTCATTTATTTTGTTCGAGTCTGGTTTCCAGATTATAATATCACATTGTCCAATGGTTGCTTTTTAAAGTACTTTTGACACTCTGGTTTCCGATTCTCGTTAAACCTGTGAAATTAAATTTTCCGATTTTCACGCATGCCTAAGTCAAATCCAAAGTAAATTGCACAAATCGTAATAAATCGTTCAATGAGAATTAAGCGCGGACAATTTTCTCACAAATTTCTCAAAGGGAATCAAACGTTACGCCTTTAAAATTGAGCGTCCCTTTGATTTCACGGATTCTCTCTGTAGTTGAAGTAATCGTATAAATGTCTTTAAAATCTCGTCATCCGTCGATAATTCATTTTTCTCACGAAATTCCAATAAAAAACACGTCATCGTCTACTCGACTTTACACCGTTGGATGATACGTTTCACGCGATAATCGATCACAATTGGATATTGTTACACTTGCTTTTTGACATCTTCTATCATTTTTTTTCTCCTTCCCTTTACTTTTGTTTTCCTTCCACTTCATAGTTTCTGGAAGATCCGGTTAAAAATACAAGAAAATTGTATTTTGTACAAGATATTCCTTTTATTAGGAATTTTGTTTTCTCTTTGTCCCTTTCCTAATTCGAGAAAGATCACGGTAACGGTGTGACAAAAATACTATTTAATGCAAAATATCGTTTTTTTTTCGTGTTTTTCCCAAGTCGCGAAATATCTTCATAACAAAACTGCAAAATTTCATTCGAAGCAAAATACTCACTTTAGTAGAAACTTCCATATTTTGCAGAAGATTTGATTACGTATACGAAAAAATTCTGGTTGCAATACAAATAAATATTTATAATCGAAGATTCATATATGTGGCGGCACTCGACAACAAATACCGCCACTCGACGCTAATTTCTACCGGATGAAGGTAGCGCAGTGGTTAATGCCTTAGGTTACGAACGTTCGGGACCCGGGTTCGTATCCCGGTCACCCATAGTCCAATTTTTCTTCCACGTATCTAAATTAGAAGGAAAATAGCAGTACCTCATCAGCGACATACATCTACAGCTCAGCATCTACAAGTATCGCGGACAACAACACTACACTTCATATATATTACATTTCACGCATTTCAACATTACATTTACATTGAATTTAAGTAGATTATAGTACATTTCAAACATCAAAGGATTGGTTGGTTGTATGTCAATAACTGCATAAAAGTATTAACATTTCTTGCAATAATATTCATTTGTTAAGTAGAAATAGAAGTATATAAAAATCTTATTTACAGCAAAAAATGCATGTATAATAATGTCAGATAAATAAATATAAAAAAACATTATTTGGTGTAAGAAATATTGTATGGATATAATACTTCAATATATGTTTGCAATTTATTTATAAAAATAGAAACTTATATAAAAAACTAAATATTCAGTTATGAAAAACAGATTTCAGAGCAATATTTATTAAATTAAATTTTCAATAAAGTATATTTTTTAGTGTATCGTCATTGTAAATTTGAAAAATTATCGCATTAATTTGATCATTTTTCTTCATTTTCTTCTCTTTTCGTCTAATTTCCAATGGATCTCGTTAACATGTATTCTACATATAAGAAGAATGGAATTAAACAATGTTAATTTCAAAGAACTTTAATTAGAATTGCAAAAAAATTCTAATTCTAAGAATTCACCGTTGCAGTTTGGAAAATCCTGTTTCTCATCTAATTCTTCTATAAAAATTCTTCTCAGCCTTTAATGAATAATATTAGAAATGCAAAAAAAGAAAAAGAAAAACAAGAAAGATAGAAAGAATATTAGCATTTTATTATTTTGATTATACAAAAATTGGTAGAACTTTCGCGTAAAATATTTTGTCGTTATTTTCAATATTCATGGAAAATCAGGAAATTTTGGATGAATTCAGATTTCGCGATAATTAGTGGCTTAATTTATGATCGGTCCACAGTTTCGCGAATTATAATACATCATTCTGATGTCAGGATAATTAGATTTATTGCACGCTCGACTAATGGCTTTCCATCGCGAATGAGAATTTTTTCACCTATATCTTCGCTACTTTTATTTTCTATCAAACGAGCCACAGATAATTAGGTTGGAAGAAAATGTGCCAAGCGAAAAGCATGCGAAAAAATTCTTTCTGTAACATCACAAAACGCTATCTGTCTGTTATTTGAGTTGAAATTAAAGAAAAAAAAAATATATAATTTTGAAATAAAATTTCGAAGATATTTTTTGAAACGTCTTAACAATGTGAAAATTTTCAACAGTTTTATTTTTCCGATGCTCGTCCCCGGTTTTCCAGAAGATTTAAAATGAAACTGGAAGCCGAGGAAAAAAGGCGCGAACATTTTTGCATAAAAGATATTTTCATCGTGGACTCTGTCAGTTTCTTTTCCCATATTTTACTTTTTTTTTTGTCCCCTCCCCCTTTTTTCATTTCCTGTCAAATGCGTTCTCTTTTTCATTAGGTCATCCTGCGAGTTCAGGTCGCGCAGAGAAATTCATTTCGCTTGGCAACAAAGAGAAGAAGATGGCTTTAAAATATGGGAACCATGCTGTGTTCAAAGTAAATTAGGAGCAGTATGTTATGAACATGAAATAACGTACCTCAGAATATTAACTTAGGGCGAAGAAACTTTCCCTTTGATCTTGGAAAATGAACGAAATTGCAGCAGAGTATTTTTCCATTGTAACATTCTTAGAGTAAAGGAAATAGTTACTCTAAAAAATTATTTACTACATTGCAACAAGATTTTCATAGAATTTCGTTAAAATCCTCTAAGGATATTGGAATCGAAGAACATGCTCCTTTATCACGTGAATTTTCAATCTCGACATCATAAAGGACATTTTTTCCCCTAGTTAATTCGGCAAAATTATTTTCCAAGAAATTTCTAAACAATTTCTTTTTATTTCTATTTAATAAAAATGTCATTAAAAGTTCTTTCGATATTTCCAGATTTATTATTATTATCGTTTCAATTGAAGTTTACGATATTCAAAGAGATCGAACGATTGTCAATTATGATGAAATTCACGTAGGTTAGTTGAGTCGACGGACAGTGAGCAATGTAACGCGAGATAAAAAAGCATGAAAATATTCGTTTATGAATTATGGTAAATTTTCAGCGTTCGTAATCTCGTAATAGAGATACACAAATATGAACGTAAGTAAATATTAATGACGAATATCGTGGAAACCGTGTGACAGTTCCTAACATTTGTCTGTAGACAATTATTTTATTATATTTTATTTTATTAAATATTAGAAAAATATATCTGACTAGTCGATTGTATGTCTGTATGCATTTAAATACATTAGAGTTTTACGTAAGTTGTTTTTGAATACGTAAAAAACGAAAAAGAAACATGTTGCTTCAGGAAATTATTGCTTCAGGAAATGTTTATTTATTATATAAATAATATATGCACATATACATTGACTACTGAGTGTAAAAAATTAAATTAATATATTCAACTGCAGCATCATAAATACTCGTATTATACGTTACGTTACATTCGTGCTATTAGCCAAGAGAAAGCAAGTTGTTTCACGATCGAATATTAACACGAATTGGCAAATAATAATTATCTAATTATCGCAAAGGTGAAAAATGACAAAATATCACCAACAAAATATCTGATTATAGGAATTATTTGTGTTTGCAATTATTTATTTATAGATATTATTAAATATAATTATTTAGACGCGTGTTTGATGGTATTTTACAATATTTTTCGATCCTGCTTCTTAAGAATCGAATAGAACCATCAATTTTTGATTTTGCTTTTCATTAGACGATCTCTGTCTTCTCCTTCGTGCAATTTCTTTTTACAATTTTTCAATTTTACGACACTCTCGATCGACACTGTAAATCTGTTTGTATTTTACGTACTTTGGAAAATTTCTACTCGCTGGCTAACATACTCATAAATCATACTAATCGTATTATAACAATGCATACGGGTAACCTCGTTAACGCGAATAATTAGAGCGTAGGAAAATTTCCAGATTTATTATCTATCAATTTTTCACGCAGCTCGAAGTTATTCTGACAGATTTGAGCGCGAAATTTCCCGGCTTAAAATATGTTGTACGACCGGAGTACGCGCCATATTTGAATACAGCTGGTACAGTGTTGCTGGGTTGGCTGATAGTGTCTTGGATTTCTTACGTAAGTTCTATCCTTTTTCACAATTTCATACATCTTTTACAATTTACAAATATTTACTCGCGATTTTCCTGGTATATATTGGCTTGGCAACTAAGTGATTACGGATTGTGTCATTAGGTGGTAATGACAAAGTCCGCAATCACTTAGTTGCCAACCTAATATCTGCCAAATTTCTGCCCATTTTTATTTTCACTTACTTTCTCGTTTATTTTCATTTATTCAACGAACGTTCCAATTACACGGCTGATTAAAGCAGAACAAATGAAAATCTGTTTCGTACCGTTAATTAATCCGTGGTATTTTTCCATTCGTCGTTTGCTCTTTCACGCATCGTCGCATTTACAACATACTCGGTTTAACATTTACATTCGTTCGTTAAATATGTCAACGTCATCGTTTACTCGAACAGTAATTCAGAACAATTTTTTATTCTGCATCAGAATTTGATTGCACGAGATTTTCTTTCAAGTATTGGCTTGGCAACTAAGCGATTGCGGGCTTTGCCATTAGGTGGTAATCCTGCCGAACGACAGCGTGTTTTACATAAATGTGAAAATATTCAATTAACCATGTAGTCTCGCAAGATTTGATCCCAAGTTTTCCCAAATCTCAGTTTTATTATCGAATATCGATTATTCAAAAGAGTTTCGCTTTAGTGGCAATAAAATCTCAAAATGTTTCCTATAAAACACACGATATATTCTACAAGTGTTTTCGAGTCAGGGATCAAAAATAACGGTTATGTCTAAAATCTTGGTGACGAAAGTCATTGCTAAAGAAAAAATTGAAAAATATTACTTTTTAAATACTCTAGTTACGAATTACCATTAGTGACCATCACAATGTTCTTCATTGTCCATAAGCATTGCATATTATAAATTTTTTTTTATTATTTATGAAACATTTAATCTTTGTTTATTTTCTTTCCACTTTTATTTTCATTCTTCCTCCCTTCACCCCTTCTAGATAATGGTTATTGGCGACCAAAAAAGAATTTTGCCACAAACGATGATTATTTATTTATTAGAAAACAAACTATAATAGTTATTCGTAAAAAAAATCAATTAAACCAACCTACTACTTCTTACACAGCAACTTTACTCATCTCGACTATAACTATTATGGTCCTTGGTTCGAATGCTTCTGTAAAGAGTGTTCATAAAATTTGATCATTTTTGACGATACTGTATTTCATTGGGAATTATAAAAGTCCTTTATCTGTAGCTTATCTGGGCGTTCCTCGCGCCCCTCATGATCACTGTCATCGCCATAATCCTGATTTGCCCGACGACGGCGAAGTGGTGCGTCAAACAAACCATCCCCGGCATGGAAACCGTTTTCAACGAGTTCTTGGAAATGTTCCAGACCATTTTGTCGCAAATACGCGACTGATCAAATTTTGACAACGGCAGTTACGAGTTTAGTCGTAGTTGCAGCGCGTTTTGTAACTGTGTTTCATCTAAACCTTCCATCGTTGATAAAAACGTTCCAGGAAGAATAGTATTAGCTGTAGAAGAGGAATTAAGATGAAAACTAATCGACTGTAAAAGAAAATTACTCATTTCTGTCAAGAAATTGTAATAATAATTTACAAAATAAAATTGGATATGTATTTCTATTTTTTTTTTTTTTTTTACGTTAAAAGAAATTTGAGACGTTCAACGTTGAATCATAAATCGATACGTGGTATAAACTTGGAATAGAACACGCAGAAACATGAGGAAATACGGGGATGCGAGTAATGTCTCCGATTACCATCCAAACGGCTCGTGTTCTAATCCCAACGCACCCATCTGGTTTTCTTTCAACGTCAAAAAATACTTTTCCCATTGCACGATGCGCGTACGTCTTAAAATAAAAATAAAAGTCAAAATAAAAAAGCTCTCATATGCATGAAAAGAAAAAATAATGGAAAACAAAAATGTTAAGGTAGTGAAAAAACGTATTAGAGGGTTATTTATTCATCATAATTATCAGAGTAATCCAAGAAACAAGAAAAACATTCAAATTTTCCACAAATTGAGAAAACATACCAAATACATGTATATTAATAATATACCACAAAACGAAGTTTATGAATCTGGTAATTATGAATTTGTCGAATATCTCTAAATTATAAATTGGGCAAATCCCTGAATATAACAATATAAACATTATTTACGTTAATTACTTAGCAGTATCAAAATATTCTAATAGTCAATCAACAATAATTAATGTGTTCGTTATTACTAATGAATTTAATGTTCGTTTACAACAACTAAATCTCGCTATTTAAATAAAATTCAAGCTTATCACAGTTTTAAAGGGGATTACCTGTTCGAAGCTGAACAATTTGAAAAGAAATAAAACAACCCATCGATAACAGGTGTAATTACTATTGCAGAAGATTGTGATAATTTAAACTTCGTACTTGGGAAATCCAATAAAAGATAAATCCTGTGTCTGAATCAGCTCCATCCTTAAAAATCCACGTAACAAGAAAGATGGAAAATTAGAGCTTTAGAAAATCCACCTATAGCTTTCGAGAGAAGATACATCTGGCTAACTACAATATTGGGTTTTTCCCATCCTACGTGGCCAAACGAATTTGTAATACGGTTGTTCACAAGGTTACAGTAGCCATTTGTCAGGAAAGCGCCCAGGCAGATTAGTTGCAATTCGTGGGGCGTCGTTCATTAAAACGAGAACACAGTGTTGGAAGGTATTTTAATTGCCTTCGCGATCTTCTTTCTACTCGTTCTCTCTAAGTGTGGCATATTCGTGGTTCACAGAGGGATGCTGGATAGAAATAAAAAGCTGTTCGTGAAAAACAGGATTTTAATCTCATTCTGGAGGATCAGAAATACCTTCGAGCAAAGTCCACAATTTCTTCGAACGAATTTCCCTGTTAACGGTTCGGTGGTTTAATGGTAGGAAATTTTCGATTTCGAATTTGAAAATTCAGTGAATCGAAACTTCGAACAGTGGCAAATTTTCTGCACTCTGTAATTTCTGAATTAGAAAGAAAATTCGAGAATGCGAAACTTGAGATTCGACGACTTTAGAAGTTTCGAATTTTCTAAAATTTCGTAATTCGAAAGTTTCACATGGCGTACGGATAAGTTTTTTAGAAGTCTGAGAGGAAATCGGTGGTTTGAAAATGCGACATTTCGAGACCCGGACAGTCGATGATTTTCCAGCTCGCGGGAGAATTTTCAAATTTAAAGACTCGGAAAATCGCGATGTTTCCTAGGCCGAAGCTTTTCAAAATTAAAAGAATACAAAATCTGGTGATTTTGAAGATACACAGATTGGAAAATCTCAGTTACTCCGAAAGCCCGGAAAACTCTAAGCTCCGTACGTTTCCTAACTTGTACGTCATCAATCGTAGAAAAGCAATTTCCCATTCCTATACTAATTTTCCTACATTTTCCATAATATGCGTACGGTGCGAAATATATTGTTCGATGCTTGAAAAGTTTTCCAGTCCAATCGTTGGTCGTTTCATACTCTGTCTGAATGTACGAACACACGCCTGCGTGTCACACGTTCAATCAATGTTAATTAGAAATTAATTTCCACGGCTCTCTGTTGCCGGCGCGATCGCAAACGGCAGCTCGATGATTTGGCAGCCTCGAGGCTTCGGCACAACACAAATCCGGCCTGTTGTTCAATTAGCGAGCCCCAGACATCAAGATGTAAATTTCGGCCTGGTTAATCGTTTTCGAATGTATCGAAATTCCACGAATTTTTCGTCCGATCGACGAACACGAAAAGCCGCGTAAATGGAATTGCCGATTCCGGAATAAATTCCTCCGTTGTTTCGTCACTACATATCCTAGATGATTATTTGGTCGTTTATTCGGAAATTTCTGAATCATCGACTGCATGAAATGCTCGAGTCACGGAATTGAAAAGGAGGTAACGACATTTGGAAAAATATCTGGCTTCCTAGCGAATGATTCACGGATTAGGCGAATTTTCTATCATCCAGCCTTGCAAGTTACCCACTGAATCGGAAAATTGGTGAAACAATAGAAATTTTGTAAATACGTGAAATTTAACGATCGAGACGATTGTTCAGTTCTATGTTGTTCTATTGGGTTGGCAATCAAGCGATTGTGGATTTTGTCGTTAGGTGGTATTGACAAAATCCCTCAATCACTTAGTTGCCAACCTAATAGATACTCTGGAAACATAAAATTCCAAGCTTTTCCCTTAAATCGTTACCTTTTTAACCTCAGCCCTTCAATCATTAGAGGAATTTTAATTCATCACCTCGACAGAGTGACAAAATTGGAAGAAAAGCGATAAAAGCAATTCGTAGATCGCTAACGACTGGCTGTGGTTCCCCTGAAAGATACTGAATTACCGGCCGCGCAAAATAAATACTTTGCGCGTTAAAATATCGACTGCGCACAGATTTAAGGTTAGGATATAATAAATGCCTGATTAACGGTTATCAATGTTTATTTACTCAGCGAACGGTACTTTACTTTACTGGACGTGAAACGGCTGCGTTATAACATCGAAATTATAAAATATTATATAAAAGGTTAATATAAAAAGTTTGCGAAATGGTTACCTATGCGTGAAATAACGTGGCAAATGCGGAAATAAAGAAAGAGACGGAAAGGAACGTAATATAGAAAGTTTTATAAGGTAACTCTTCGCAAGTAGAGAAAATGATCGTTTCACCTTATAAAGGAGAATTTACAAGTAACAAGTTGGAAGTTCCATAATGGAGTGCTTTTTTTTTTTTTACTGAGAATTGCAGTACGCAGATAGTCGGGAAGTTTTTTATGGTCCAAATAGAGGGAGCCACTTAAGGGCAATACTTGAGGAAGCTTGAGTGCCTTTAAGAGACGCGATTATTTCCAGTTAAGGGAAGAATATAGGGGCCGATTCGCCATCCCAGGCACTCAAACGTCTGATCTAAAAGCATATAAGACTCCAACGACAGGAGAACTACAAAGTTGAGCGCTCGATAGGCTGCTAAGTAGCACTGTGCTAGTAGCAGCGCACTTATCTCGAAGCAAATGGAGTTGCAGTTACTGATTTTCATTGAAATGAAAAAAGAAAGTAAGAAAGGAACAACTAAAAAATAAAAATTAATCTAAGATAAGAAGGTATCGGGATTGTAAAATTTTTGAGCCGTGTCATTTTTCACGGAAAGCTAAAGAGGACGATTTTTCACGGAAACGAACGATGTTGAAAATTTGGCCTCGAGAACGAGGGTTTGGCCAACGAACGTTTCAACTGTGGAAACTGTACACGATCACGGTCGGAAATTAAAAGTTATTCGATAATAATTCGATACTCGCGATTCAAATGTACACAGAGTAAACCACAGAGTAGGTTAAGAGTAGCAAATGTAGAAAAAGCACGTGGTCAAAATTAACGAGGATGTGACACATCAACAGGTTGAACGAAATTTGTTGCGTCTCATTTCCGTGAGAGAAGACCCAGATTTTCCGCCTCGACGAGCTCAAAAACCACTAAAATCTGTCATTCTGGCCGAATATTTTTCAGTCCGGGTACTATACTCGAGCTTTAAAACCAACGATTCGTAACATCAGTGTTGCGTTACACATACAGAAGCAAAATATTGTTGGCTCGAGCGAGGTTGGAGTGGAATTTCTTGGATCAGATTTCTCAGATTTCCCTTGTGAGGAAAATGGAATTAAGTTTCACGTTAATTAATGAACATTCCTGGTAAAGAGTGCTAGGTAATTGGAAAATAAACTCGGACGAGTGGAAGACTTACTTGGGGAATAAATTAAATTAAGTCCCGATTAAATAACGGGATAAGAAAATATCAATTTGTCTAAAGCTTGAATGAAGAAATTCTCGGGAAATATCTTTTATTACGCGAAGCAATCAAATATGAGAAAGTTTTGCAGAATAATTTTTTCGCGCTAATTGGTTTAAATAGTATCGAGGTTAGGTTGGGATCAGGTTGAGGTTAGGTTGCGGTTGGCAACTAAGTGATTGCGGATTTTGTCAATACCACTTAATGATAAAATCCGCAATCACTTAGTTGCCAACCTAATTGTACGAACCGGAACCAAGTCCGAGGTATTACGTGTCGGATGGACAAAACGAAAAGGCTATTCTTCCGGTGGAAGGAAAGAAAAGAAGAGAAAAAGACGAGAAGATCGTCGACGCGAATGTTTCGTGACGACAAGCTATTAATTTGCGGTGCACGTTAATCGTGGTTTGTTCCTTGGAATTATCATTACGTTTCGTTACAATGTAGGTAAATCAGGTTCGATAAAACATTTGATTAACACACTGATGGTTGAAAGTAACATCTATGAGGAATTTTATAATTTTATAATATTTAATTTTAACTTGGAATATTCTTTTTTTGTTTTTTTAAAGTTTCTGAATGTTCCAATTTTTCAAACCATTGATTTGATATCTTTTCGTATCTTGGAGTTTTTAATTTTCAAAATTCCGACACTGGGAGTTTGGGGTTGACAAGTTTTCAATTTCACGAGACCCCAAAAGTTTCACAGAAATGGAATTCTCGAATTTTAGATTCTTCAATTTTCGAAGCCCGCGGAAAGAAAAATTTGTTAATTTTGAGATTCAACAATTTTCAAATTCGTATTACGCTTCTAAATCGCGAAATTTCCGCCTGAATATTTCGGCCTTGCGGAATAAACGTCTCAGAATCTCAAACACTCAACGACTGAGAAATTCTCAAATTAGCAAATCGGAAGAATTTTCAGCTTCGAAACCGTCGTACGTTCGCTGCTTGAAACCTGCAGCTTCTTTTCCAAAATCGAAACAAAGTTTCGAGAATTGCCACCAGTTTCGAAATTCCCACTCTTTCAATTTTCCAATTGTGAAAGTTTTTCAATTTCGTAATGTCACGTTTCCGCGTTTTCCATTTCCTTTACGACTCTGCTGCCCTTTGCCAGCCTTCTGCTTCTTTAAAATTTACATAAAATACATAAAGACGAGTTAGGAATCAATTTATCATCCATTTGACAAAATTAATGAAAATACGAATTTTTTGGGCTGGCAAATAAGTCGGTGCGGTCGCTCACGATAGCAACAATGACGGTGCGGCCACTCGAGCTGGTAACTATGTCAGTGCGACCGCTCGAGCTGGCAACTATGTCGGTGCGGCCGATCGAGATGGCAACTATGTCAGTGCGGCCGATCGAGATGGCAACTAAGTCGGTGCGGGTCATATGATCTGGCAACTAAGTGAGCGTGGGTTTTGTCAATACCAACTAATGACAAAATCCGCATTCCTTAGTTGCAAAACCATTAATAAACTTCGAAATAAATGTGCCTTGCCACCATCACGAAGCATCGGTATTTATCAAAATCTAGAAAATCTAGCACTGCAAGTAGCGACGAATATTAATCGAAACTTACGTAGAAACTTGCGGCCGCTTATGAAAACGGAAAAACAAAGGAATACATTAAGTTTCCTCGTGGCTTGTTTGAAATTCAACCGTCAGCGGGCAATAACGAAGCGCGGAATATTAAAACTCTGGCGTAACAAACTCGGACATCAATCTCGCCGTAACACCATTCCTCTTATTTTCCGAAAAATAAAAGGGAAAAAAAAGAGAAGAAAAATAAGAGAATGGTATCCCTTCAGGAAA